CTGTCAGGAAAGGCGGGCTAGTTTACATTCATTATCATATCCCCTTTCTAGTGGCTTTCCTACTTTTAGTTTTGCACTATCGACTGGCAACTGTTGAATATTAAAGAGTTTGCGGTGTTCCGATTTAAATACTGAATATTTCATTTACTTCAGTTGCCGATTTTTGGAATTCGAATTATTTGAAGCTTCTTATTGAATGATTTTATTTAGAGTTTTTTGGATGACATCAGTTACCGTAAGAAAGCTATGCTTTAGCGCATTGATTCCTTAAGTGGTAGATATCGACCATTTGGGTCGAAGTCGATTTCCTAGGTTTGGGGGCCAACGAGGTCTAGAAATCGACCCCTATTAATGTGTTAGTAGGATGTATTGTTGTTGTATTTTTAAAACTGAACAAGTCGATAAGATAATTAGGAAATGGGAGTCTAAGGAATTATTTGATTTTAGAAAAGGGGTTTTTTGCCCAATATAGTTTAGGAATCCCTGCTTTAGCGCATATAGACCTGCTCCACTGGAGGGATATCGTCCTTTCGTTGCATTTCACCCAGGGAGTTGGGTTACTCAAGGTCTATCCACACTCCTTCCTAATTGGGGGAACACTCAAAGGGCGGTAATTAACTTGGCAGTCTTGAGTTACAGGTGTCTATGGTGACCATGTCCACTAACCCAAACATAACCTATATACCTGAGTTCTACTATACGACTCACCAAGTAAGCAGCTTCTCCTTTGTATGTAACTAGTGTAATAAACTTATCACATCAAGCCCCACAAAGAAGAGGCTGAAATTGATTCCATTAAATACAGAATCTATTAGTACCGTTAAATTTATTAGAACAATCAAATCAAATTGGTGTTACAATATAACGACCTTTTGTGCCATAGGTACCTATTTGTTTACAAAGGTATACCCATGAAGTAAAAAGCAATTTTGGATTTTTAAACATATTTGTAGCAAAAATTCTTTGAAGAAAATGACCAACCTAATCGAGATATTTTTTTAGACCTTAACAATATATCCAGACACGCGGAATCTTTAAGGATTGCAATACAATCCTTTTACCCGTCACTGATATCCTACATGTATACTATGTATCTTAGATTCTGGATGTAGAGACTTAATTTAAGGCTGTATTAAAGAAATTTACGTGGATGGAAATTAAAGATTTTTGCTGATGTTGTAGATAAATCAGGTCTTGTATTTACCTAAATTTTTTGTACTTTATTTTTGAAAATCTGGTTTATTTGAAAGTTTTAGTGTACTTATGATGATGTAAATTTACATTTTTCTTACTACTAAGCACTTATTATACCTTACTTAATTGACGTCAGTAATACATTTAACGCCATAAGTAGTATTAATTTTATCATGAATGTACCTGTGTACCTACTCATATAAGTCTATAATATTATAGTTCTTAAACGGATGGACAGGTCAGATTTCCTTTTTTGGGGTGAAATGTGACTTAATCGTGAGAATTTTAGAATTATTTAAAATTAGAATAAAGAGTTAGAATTATTTAAAAATCTCTAATTGTAATAATTAAAATAACTGTTGTTTTCTAATCGTTGAAGGTGTTTTCAAGTCCACGATAATTTATGATTGCCTAAAGAGTTACTAACATGACATACATTTTATCAACGACTTCTTCTTAATTACGTAGTTATTTGAGATCATTAAGCGTATATGTATTCACTTAATTAAGATAATAATTTAAGATTAAAAATTAAGATTCAAGTATTATAACTAAGCAAACAAGTCTACGCTCAAATTTATAATAAGTGTGTTCGTGTATTGCCAGTGCAAATACAATATAGCAGGTGAGTTCCCAATATCAAAATTAAATTACAAGCTGCCTCAGGCACAACATATGCCAATACCAAGTTTTATCACGTAGTTTCTTGTGAATATGGATTTGTTTGTATTTTATTTACCTTTATGGTTACTGAACTTTGTATTCTTAATATTATGTTACAGCAAAAACAAAAGTACGTGTTCCGATATGAAAAACCACATTTTCTAATCAATTTCATTTTGCCTGGATTTGTATATTGGAAGGAAAAGTGTTACATACAAGGTTAATGTGTGTGTCAATAAGTTTATCTGTCGCGTCGTAAATCGTAAACAGATAGATCGATTTTGAATTACTTTTTCATGAGAGGATCAATCACTTTTTCATTAAAGAACATTGGAATCCATTACTCAAGGAAATCTGTTCAGCCCTTGAACACATCAGCTTTTCTCTAATTTGCCGACCAATTTCAAATTCACTATGCTTTTCCTTTGATAGTAAAAAGAGGTAAATTTACCCTGATGCTGCAGTAGTTTCTGGCATCAGCAGTATTCCGGACTCCTCAGAAATTTATATTGGTTAAACTCATTGGTATAGTCTCCAAGTTTAGATTGGTGGGGTACGAAGCAGTACTGGTTTTGTTAGTTCAGGGTATCAGGGTAAGTAACATTAGAAATATCATTAGTTAAAATAACAAATTAAAAAGAAAATTAAAGAATTTCAAAAATAAAAATAACTTTACCGTCGGATAGTAAGCCCTTCGAGTGTAAGTAAATCCTGCTGGTTGGCTGGCTGGTTTTTTCTACTCAATCGTTATAGATCTTAATATCCTCGTTTCAAAAATAAGTAATAAAGGATATTTATCATAAAGAGCATGCTGCTAGCAACAGAACATTGGGACTTAAACACGTATCAATGGACTTTACTACTAAGTAAATGTGTAATTTCTCTCTTCTCTGTGTCTTTCTCGCGACCTGTGATATTGCTGTTAATTATTAAACCTTTAAGCAATCAGTGATATGTACGATTGTGAGATGCGGTGGAGACGCTTAAATTATATATTTAAGCTTCTTAGTTTGTTCTCTATCTACATAATTTAAGCGTATAATATATATGTATGTACTTTAATAAAAGTCGAAGTTTATCAACATGGATAAATTAATTATTTATATTGAAAAACCCGCTATTATACAGAAATCATTTGCTAAATTTTATAAAATAATTACTAATTATAATAGTATAAAGTCATAGTCATATAATAACATATAATACTAATAAAACATTTCTAAATACAAGAAGGAAGACTTTTATAAATAAAAACTATTTGTGAAACGTGTCACATCCATTATCTCTTCGCTTTCTCTTAGTATTTTGCGGCTAGAAATATCATTATACTCCTATTGCATTGGATTCCGTAACCAATGCAATTTTCCTGTAGCTAGTGATAGGTATTTGTTGTGGTTAAACCAATACTGCTATACTACAATTTACAATTCTGCACTCATTCACAGTTGAAACTCAATCTGGGTAAATTCTTAATGTAGCTAATAAATATTTCTTAGTTACGCTTTAGGGAAGTACTGCAATTTAGTTCGTTCGTGATGGCTAATTTAAAACAAACAACAAATCTTAACTACGATTAATCGATCACCTACCTCGTTCAAATTAAACACATACACAGAATGTGCTTAAGTGAAGATGATTTACCTCAGTCTTTGCACAAAATGTCATGTATTCTCAAAGCATATTTATAAGTGCCCATAAAAAACTACTATGGGGACAGCAGAAAGAAAAAAACACGAGATTAAAAGGAGAAATTGTGTTCAAAATATTCTTTGACTTTTTTACATAATAGTTCTAAATTTAAAAATATTTATGTTGGTGTGTGTGTAAAATACGAAGTCACATCACTCGTAAATGGAGGTATCAATAACATTACGAACATCGCGTCAAAAATAAACTTAGCCGTACGAATATGAGTTACGACAACTCCCGTCTGTTACATTTCAAATATAAATAATATAAGCATCGCGAACCAAATTTATCATCTGGCGAATAGCGTATTTTTCAAATGGATGTCAATTTTTCAATTCAATTTGAAACAGAACAAGTTCTGATTTAAAAAAAATGCAAGTGAAAGAAGTGTTATTTACTCAAAGAGTATTTTTATTGAGTAAAATGTTATATGTCACATACATGTCAATAAATTTTACTGCAACACCAGTTAGTATAGTGTTAACTTTTGTAAAAATATATCATGCTAACTAAGAGAAGATTTTTTTAAGTAAAATATCTGTTGGCCTTTATCAGTTCCTCTTTTATTTCATCGGATTTTCTTAGTTTAGTGTAATTAAAAACAATGTACTCGCAATTCATTCGATGTATAAATCTTTTCTTATGTTGTATTAGTTTTTAAACCAATGATTAAAACCTCAATAACTTAAAATTTAACACTTTTAAATAATAAAAAAACTTTCGTTATTTAAAGTATAAAGACGCAATGATTATAGTGAAACGTTATGTACCAATTTAATTTTTACACCAAATTACGTTCTTCATTTTCATGTTGCAAATTTGCTTATTTCATTATTAATTTCACTAGAAACACTTAAATTTAATTTCCTAGTTTAAAGATATAGAGTGGCTTTCATTAAAAAATTACATACACAAGATCTCGTTTTGGCAACTTACATTTTGCTTGTATGTTATTTCTTTTCATATTACAGTTATATAAATATCATCTAGTATCAAGGCTGTTTTTCAAATACTTAACTTAAGCGGCATATTCTTATAACACGTGTTAACACTTTTATACTGGTTTATTAAATTTTTGGCATGATTGCAAGGTTTTAAAATCTATACAAAAAATAAAACGAAATTTGTGCCTATTTGTAATTTTTATTTATATTAAAAAATCTAATTTTCTCTCTATCTGTTAGTGCCGGATAATCTCTAAAACGGATGTACTGATTTTCATGATACCGATGCATTCATAAATATAACTAAAGTGAGCGTAGGTACTTTTTTATCCCTAATTATAAAGCAAGCAGAAGCTAAAACAACATGGAAAGCACAGAAAACATAGGATTTTCGCAAATCAATTATAATTTTGATAAGAGCCACCGTTTTAAATTACTAAATGACCTTAAGGTACCTTAATACTATGATTTGCGAAATCCTCTAGAAGCAATTAAAATCCAAGCTCTTACCTTGCGTCTGAAGGTTTGTATGTGACGTCATATTTTTCTACCAGGTCCGCAGTAGTGGACCAAGATACCCTAACTGTGGTTGGATTCAAAAACGTCACGGTTATATTTTCCGGGATACCGGGGCCCATTGATCCTGGAACAATTAAAAGTATTTATAACTTGTTACATTTATTATTAGTGATTTATCTTATATAAATAAAACTTATAAATTGGCCTTTTAATTATCATTTTTTGCCATTTATATTGCGTATGTTTAGTCCTGAGGCACAAAAACTATTTCTTGTGTAACGTTAAATTTAAAATTATATTCATTGGTGAAAAGACTTATTTATACATATAAGTCTTTGTCAAAATAGCAATATAAACATTGGAAACATGTTTATATTAACTGTAATTATTATTTGAGTGTGGAAGAAATAATAAAAGATAAAGTAAACGTATTCACGTTTACTTTATAACTAAATAGCTGTACCCTGCCATGCTTCGCTGTAGCACATTGTGGTTGAAAAAATAGATATAAACCATATCTAAAGCGTTTTGCATAATCGTGTCAAAGAACTTTTGAGTTTTTACCACTTGAGGTTTTGCACAAACCAACTTAAAAATGTTAAGTTGGTTTGTGCACGTTTACATACACATATATATTTTATTACATACATATATAGCTTTTATATCAAGCTAATAAGTAAGCTACACAGTAAAATTGGTTTATCAATACTTTACTAGACAATTTAATATACAAGTTCCTAGGTTAGATCGAGGACGAAGTTTGTTGTTGTTTGTTTATTTGAGGTAAGTTACATAATAAGCTTAACCTCTCTGCCTACTAGCTAACCCCCTTAAGCACACCTATCAAGAATAGATTATTATACAACAAGCTCGCCCCATTTTTCTAATCTGGATTTTCTGGATTTACGATTTTTTCATTTCCAAAAATAGGGTAGTGTCATGATGTGCCACGTATTAAGGCAGTACTGAAGCACCCAGTGACACCCTAACTTGTTATTTTTTTAGTCTTTATTGAAGAAATTATTATTATTAAAGACTAAAAAAGCAAAAATGAGTAACAGTTAAAAATTTGTATTTTTAACTGTAATTTTTTTTAGTCTTTAATGATGGTTTTTTCTGTTGGAACTAGCCGAATTAAAAAGTATAAAATAATTTTCTATAAGTTCGAAAAGAAAAACAGTGATTACAAAAACATTTTATCGTAAAAAAGTGTAGGTACAAAAGCTTGATTTTCCTTGTTTTTTTTAAACTAATATTTATAACATTGTGCTTAGTCATTTTAATGTGGATATTAATTGTAATCAACATAATCGAAGTTGTGAAAGGCTAAAGTGATTTAAAGATTAATGCATGGTACACACCGGCGTTGACGAGACGCAACAGCAACGAGAGCGCGAGAGCGACGGCAACAGGTTGCGCGGGCGGCGCGCGCCGCATGTCGCGCCCACCCCACTGCTCATGCCATACCGTCTCTGAAACAATCACAACAACCTCAGTAAACTATGGTTTTCTGTTTCTATAACACATAAGCAACTATGTATCAAAGTTATTACAATTTTTTCATAAAATTATGTCTTTTATGTACTTATAAAAAGAAGTACTTTTTTTTAACAAATTTGTAAATTTTGAACTTTTTTAATGCATTCCATTTAGCCATATTAAAGATTCTTCTTGTGTGTGTGCAAAACCTCCCTTCTAAGGAGAGGCCTATGTCGAGCACTGATCTTTTCAATGCTGTTGACGATGAAAATAATGTTAAAAGATAGTTCTAAGGGCCCATTTCATTTAAACTTTCATGTCCCAAATGTATTTCAGCCGATTAAATTGGCCGTTATAATAATACAATAATCTTGATCGTTAATAAGTTCAATTTTCACTAGTATAAGAATACTAAGTAAGTAAATGATATGATAAATACTTGTGGCATTGTGACCCACTAATACCTACAACTTCTAGATCTTGGTCATTGCGCAGCTCATGAGCTCTTTATTAATTAAATAACCAAGCTTCGTATCAATACACAAGTGAATCCAACTAAACCTTTCATTTACAAATGGTTAATGTAGTTTCAATTAGTTGCCGAACGACTGTGTGATAATTCCAGGCTTAAAGAGACTCACTAATTAATTTGGTCGTACTACCAATCTGTTTGTGTGAACCCTACTTTAGTTCAATGTTATTATAACACTTTTTGTAATCTGTCTGTTCTCATTAAAGTCTCAATTAATTCACAACACGTCTGTTTTCACGCAGTATATATTTAAGAAAATTTAATTCATAAGGGAGTGAGGATTACATTTTTTTATTAATTGACTTGTGAAGCCTATTTCGTAATTACTTTGTGCGATCCTCTTTACGACTATAAATTGGTATTTTATTTTTTGTATTATAAATTGGTAGTTTAGCTTTTGCCCGCGGCTCCGCACGCGTGTATATCGGTTTCGGGTATCGGTAAAAGTAGCCTGTTACTCGCTGATTGTTTCCATTTCTTTTCTTTTCATTAGTGAAAGAATTTTTAAAATCGGTTTATTGGTTTAGGCATGAAAGCGTAACAAACAAACTAACAAACTCACTTTCACATTTATAATATACGAGTATTTATAATATGTAAGTAAAGCCCTGTTCAAACTTGAGCGGTATTCTGATATGAAATGAAATATAATCAACAAATTGACAATATAACAACTTACTTACTTAAAAATTCTTAATAAGGTCAGGTTTGTTAATGATTAATACTTTAAACGTCATGTCTGCGAGTCAAGTACTTTAGTGGAAATTGTTCAAAAGGCTTAAAAGCTTATTTAGCAGAAAACTAGACAGATAATACCTATAATGCGTATCTAGGTCCCTATTAATAGGCTTATGTATTATTATGTTCGTCTAAGTACTGGTTGGTAACGTTGTGGGGTTATAACAAACAGTTTGAATTTAGAAATGGAAATGATAAGTAGCAGGTGTGCTTCAGTTAGGTTTTATGTTATTGTGAACTGTTGTATGTCCCTCTAATGTAAAGGGAGGATCCTCCGACCAGGCAAGGTGATCATGCCTAACTATCAGACCCGCTGCCAAATTTATGTTAATCCAACATCAGGCAGTATAGGTATATGTATAGTTTTATTTGCATAACTTTCGTTACGCAATGCAGTGTTAGCGTATCGGCGTGTCTTCGACTGATTGCATTGAATTATATTGTATATGATAGTCTCTACGGTTTAGGTGAACAAATTGTGCACCAGGGACTTCCTTTCTAGGGTACACCTGGTTCCCCGGCTATTAGTGCGGTTTTAGTCGGTTCGAGTCCGACATGCCACCGATAGGTGGTATCCGAGGGGATTTCCGCGCGGAAAAAAAAGGTGGTATCCGAGGGGATTTCCGGACGGAAAAAAAAGGTGAACAAATTGTAGGTATATTAAACATGTCCAGCAGTGGACTAGTAAAGGCTATTGATGTTGATGATGTTAAATATAAGTAAATGTATTAGTAGGAGGCAATATATTTTCATAATAGCCGAATCAGGATGAGAACTTTAAAGACATGTTACATACATATATGATTCTAGTATATCTTAAAATAAAAAATTAACATTGTACTAAGATCTTGGGTTCGACTCCCGTTTGAATGTTTGTATGATCTGCAAATATTTGTTTCAGAGTTCTACCTATGTAAAATAATATATGTGTGTATTTACAAAAAAAAGTAAAAAAGTATTCTATCAGTCAATCTAGCTTTCATAGTACAAGCTCTGCCGATTTCCATTCTCTTTTTTTTTATTTAAATTTATGTCGAGTATTTTAGTCAAAAGTTAAGTTCTCTTTTGATTGAACTTTAACTCCCCAAATGGATCTGTTATAGTTGTGTATATATATATTGTAATGTCTTAGCAATAATTGTAATACAATTACTAGTAATTCTATCATCACATCAATAGCCACTATCACAGCAATAGAATAATAAAAATAAAAACATCTATCTATTATTATCTGTCTATTCCGTAAATACCTTTTTTAAACCATTTTTTGCCATTTGCTCAGATTTTTTTTTGGTAATTTGTGGTCTTTCTTAATTTTATTCTCGTTTCTTTCTTCAAAACTTCATACAGATGAGGAACGTCACACTAATTATAATTGCTACTGACTAGCAGCTGTAGTACTGAAGAATTATGGTAACCTTGAGTCTCAACGGTCTACAGTATACTCTACAATAGATGACACTCTCTTTACCATTCTTACTTTCTGTTCTACAATGGTAGAAGCCAATTGCTCTGGGCCCTCCCCAAAGGAAGGTGCTTGAGGCCGGCCAGTGGGGTGACTTTTAGTGAAAACACCTCACACCCCTGGCTCTTGGTCTTCTAGAAGTCAGAGAGCCGAAGAGATTTTCCAACATAGTTGTACTCGTATGATGAGCACGGCCATTTGTTCAGTGTCTGAGTGTAATTTATCTTTGATATATAAGTATGTTTATCAGGAGTTTGGTCACCAAAGCATAGGCTCGGCCTAGTTTGGCATCAGAGGGCCATGTGTGAGATGTAGGAGATTATATTATGTTATTATTTAGAAATAATTTTTTAAATTTTTAAGCAATCAATTTATTAATTCTAAAACATATTTACGAAAGGGAAGATCACAAATAAAAAAGAACTTTACGCCAATTTGTTATATTTCTCCCGATTTCTCGAATACGCATATATACGTATTATAGACAATACGACTGTCAATAACTTGACCTTTTTGTAAATCTTCATCAACATAATTAATCGAAAACAGTTGTCTAGAAAAGTTAACGTTCACATCTCTTTACTTATCCAATCAAATTCATTATTAAAGTCAAGAATTAAATTGGATAGCTACTACACTACACTACTTAGCACAACTGTGCTAAGTAGTGAGCTATTCATTTACTGAATATTTCATCATAGTCGTAGAATAGTGTCGGATCCGACATTTATTGAACTTTACAGGGCATTTCAAATAATTATGTTATTTTTTTGACAGAACCTTTTCAATTTTAAATCTGTAATTATGAAAATTGGCACACAAGTGAAAAATAGGGTTTGTTTTAAAATGCAATAAAAATAACAACTAATAATTATACAATTTCGTAGAAAAACCACATGCTTCATTTAACTTTGAGCGCCTATCAAACAAACACTGAATAATTTAAAATCTAAATTACATATATTTTTTCTTGAATGTAGTACCTAATAATATTTAGACAATGTAGTATCCAAATAAGGTAAAAACTGAATTTCGTATTTTTTCAAAACCAACATTATTCTACGATCATGACGATTTAATTTTATTGGATGTAATTGATAACGTGCCGTTTTATGTACTCGAGTATCTAAGCTTTGTTGTTTGTAAATTAAGTAAGTAATAATTCAAGAGACAACTGGAAGTTTGTTAGTGACAGATAGATTAATTGGAAGTAACACTTCACAGGTAAATATGTTACTAAATGTTTTTGCTATGTAAGTTTATATCCGATAATATGACTTTAAGTTACTTTATTTTTGTTTGTTTATTTGTTTTTAAAAAGACAACTCCCGCGTTAGGCGTATTTCTTGTATCGCGGTGGACTTTACAAACATAATGAAACGGATACAAAGAACACCCATACTCAGAACAACAGTTTGTGGATCACATAAAGTGTCGTCCCATGTGGGGATCGGACCCACAACACTCAGCGTAGTAGTAAGCGGCGTCGCGACTGCTTAAACCTTATGCTATCTGTGCAGTCTATTAACTGTTAAGTGTAAATTAGTTGAAATAGAATTGAATATAATAAATTAATACTAAAATATAAAAACGTTTATAACGAAATCCTTAATGTCATCAAAAAGTCTAATGCTATTGCATTCTACAGCGTTAAACGACATGTTATTTATAATTCTGCAGTTCCTCGGTAGAATGCATTAACGGTACAATATGCACTAAGAATAAATAAAATTCTTGGTGTTTTTATCTAAGCAAATGATCAAGTTATAATTTTATGTAACCAAATCAGTCATTTTATCTAATCCGACTTTGACTCATTACCCTGTCCCACCTCTCACTGCGCCCAAGACACCTTTAGCCGTCAGTAGATCGGTCTTGTGAGCCTGCTCGACTAGAAGTGAGAAAATCATCTCCTAAACCCCGCTCCTCTCGTCTCCATCTGATACACTAGGTCTCCTGGTAACAGACTGCCTGCACTATCTATATATGTATATATACCCTCTCATTCTTAAACAAAAGGTTTTGGTACAACTTTTTCAGAAGTTTTTTTTAAGATACCGAAAAATTTATGCAAAAACATACGAGTATATAGAAGTCTTTAAAAGGGTCAGAAAACCTGTTATAAAAAGGACAAACTAATTTTATTATGAATAGATATTATAAGAAGATACTACATTATTATAATAATCTAAAGACGTATTATACGAGGAACATAGAGTCACACTTACATACACGTTTAACAGATAACCAGCCTTTTTCGAGTAAAAAACATACACTTTCAGACCAAGGTTGTAGGTTTGGAAGAACACTCGAAACTCCTACTTTATCATCTATATTTTGTTTGTATAAATACAAATGTCAGCGAACTCACTTTGCAAATTAAATGGAACATTCCAGTTGACACGGAAATAATAACGTGTTTGATCGTTCAACGCACGGCATGTGAGCCGTCAATTGGGAAGGAGTATAACTGTCTACGTAATTATTAATTTTATTTTAGAACTTTTATTTCTTAGGGTTTAATTATAGATATAAAATATTATTATTACGCCAGAGGCGATCCTTTGCATCTATTGAATACAAAGAGATAATAACAAACGAAGCCAGCTTATTAAATCCACTAACAAATAGGTCAAATAGGTCCAAATATTATGATTTTGTACTTGATTACGTGACCTCACGTGATTAGCCGTAGCTTGTTAGGTATCATTATAAGCGGGAAACGATTAACTTGACATTTCAATACACAGTGTAATTGAAACGGCATCAGCTTATGAGCATTTAACGTATTTAAGCGACGGCATAAAAGGACTAGCAAATTAATAGCCGATGTAAATTAGATCCATGATCGTTTTATTTGTGTTTATTCACAATTATGCTAACAAATAACTACATACACAGTTACCAACTGTAGCATTTCCACGCTTACAAATCTCAGTTGGTGAAGTCAATTGGAAATGGTTCTTTCTGTTACGGGAAGGTACGAGTGTGTGTGTGTGTATTGTCACTAGCCTTAATGTTCTAAAGAGAAATTCAATTCTAGAGACATTAGTGTCCCACACTTTTGGCAACCATTTATCATCTACAAAGCAACAGTTGATCTACAATGGGACAAGCAGGCTTTTCATCTGTAAAGCGCATAGTAACAGAAATGACAATAGCTCTATTGTTGGGATGAGATGAGATGCTCTTGCCTTAGTTCATTCCTTGCATAAGTAGAAGATTTTGTTTTCACTACTTATATAAATATATAATCCAACAGAAACGAGGTTTCCCAAAACTCTAAGTAAATTATATATACATAAATATTTGATATGTCTATGTAACACATATATGATAAGCACGTCAGAAAGCAGAGGGTTAAAGGTTCATGTATGCATGTGTGAGAGATATTGATGTATTTCAAATAATTTTTAATAATTTTGTTTAGCTGAATCACTAAAGATTGTTTCTGATTGTGGATTCGTTAGAAATTAGAAACAGTCAGACTTGAATTCAATATTTGTTAACTTTTATAACCCTTTCAAAACTAAGCTATAAAAGTTTTGAAAATCTACAGTTTATTATATTCATAACTAGCTGGTACCCGCGACTTCGTTCGTGTGGAATTCGAAAAGCGCTGCCTTAGTGGGTTCGATGTCTGGACCGGGCAAAATTTAAAAAAAAATTAGAGGAAAAATAGCCTAAGTAATTCCTTTTGTAGACAGATACCTGGTTGTCAAATATTATCTAAATTGGTGCAGCCATTTAGAAGATTATCCGAAACAAACAAACAGACAGATAGACAGACAAAAAAAAACTGGTTTTTAAGCATAGGTATCGAAATAACCATGTAAGCATGAACAAAACCTGTAACTTTGACATTACATACAGACACTTCAATTTTATTTATATGATCAAACAAATAACAGTTAAAATAACTCAAAGAGGAAACTTATTGCGACATTTTTTGACTCAAACAGAAAAAAAAACTCAATTACATACAAAGTAAGAAATATCCAGAACATATACTCTGCTCTTCAAATAAATGGGAGCTCAGATAACATATTTAATTACTCAACAAAAATTCAAAACACTACTCAGAATTATGTAACACCAGCGTCCATAATCATTACCCGGTTTTCTTATTTTAAAATTTCCGATATTAAAAAGACACACTTTAACTTTAGTTCATGATTACACGAAGTCTCAAAAATATTAAAAACTGTAGTAGTCGAAATTGTAATTTACGTCGAATATCATTGACATCTAGTTATTGTCAATTTATTTGTATATTTTACTCACGAATGCTGCAAATGCTCATAGAAAACAAAGAAATATTAAACGCCACATATGTATATTTTCACTCCAAAACGTATCACATTATTTTCAGACTAATGTACACATATTTTTATGAGTAGTCGTTATGTTGCTGAGCTGATGATGAAAGAATCCTTGACGTTCAGGAGTAAGAAAATAACTCTTTCAAAAATCTAATTATATATTGACATTGTTTTATTCTTTCACCTTTACTTAGATTTGTAATTTATTTTTTATTTTTAGTGCTCTTTGTCAGTAGAAGACAGTCAGTAGAAGCCGGTTCAACTTTTTTTTAAAAGGATTTAATTTGGGCGGTTGTCACAATTATTTAAAGTAAACTTTTTTTTTTTATCGCTTCATTTTCACGCTACTTTAATGTGATGCTCATCAACAATCAGATATTACTGCTGCAGAGAGATACTTTCAAACTCATCCCTGGGACAAATATTATTGCCAATATGCCTTTAGTAATATTTTTGCTCATGACTGTAACTTGGGGTAAATCTACAAAGCGTCTATTTGGGAATGATTAAAACTTTAGATAAATAATTAAGATAAGTGAAGATTGAAAATAAAAGTAACTATAGAGGACAAATGAGCTGTTGTGTCACCTGATGGAAAGTGGCTATCTACACCCGCAACTCCAGAGACACATGAGCGTTGCCGCTTTTTTTTTTGTTTTAAAGGACTCCCACATTATTAATATATCCTGTCACACAAAGTGTCGTCCCATGTAGGGATCGAACCCACAACACTCAGCGTAGTAGTAAGCGGTGTGGCGACCGTTTAAATCTCTACACCAACTGTGCAGCCGCCTTTGCATGCGGGAGGCTCAAATCGTGGGGGAAGAATTGAGCTACTGAAAGCCTCACTTAGGCGGTAAAGAACTGCTTGATACTGGTTTTCTGTGAGGTCGTTGCATCTCTCGGTCGAGCCATCACATATGTATGTGTCGAAGTATTGATATATATATGTATATTGTTATGTTAATATTTGACGTATTAATACATATTGTTATGTTAATGTGTGACACCATATGGTGTTCTGGTCTAGGTCTTCTTGTAAATGAAATATCTTGCTTAATTTACTGGTGATATTAGTTTACAGATACAGAGCTCACAGTATCATAGATAAAGAAACAATGAAGTAGGAAGTGTAGCCATAGTGCGTCACATATTAGTGATGCGACATATTAATTACTTATATTTTAGAAATTAACTTTCAAAGGACTTCAAACTGTTTTCAAAATAAATATTAGTGACTCCATCCATCGAAAAGTAAAAAGGACGAGGTAGGAAAAATTGTCTCTCGAGTTAACTGATTTTGTCAGTATAATTTCTTTTTGGGGAAGCTAATTACAAAACACCTTTTGTAAATTGTTTCCAGTTCATGGTCCACGGATTCACATTATACTACTGGGATCATGCTAATTTAAAATTATTAATTAATTGTGTTTCTGTTGTCAAAATGCCAACAAGTCTGGGCATTATTGAATTATGGTCAACTCAAGATAAAGCAATAAAACCAAAAAAACTTAAGTCATCTAAGCATTTCTGTACTTAGTACAAAATACCTAATGTGAATCATCATCAGCCTATCGCAGTCCACTGCTGGACATAGGCCTCTCCCATTGCACGCCACTTACAACGATACTGTGAATAAAAGACATAAAAAGAAAAGGATCTATATTTCAGAGTAACGAAATGATTGGACAAAAACCCTTTTCTAGCCCTATGGATGGGCTTTGTTGATGTTATGGAATTTTTTTTTTATTATTCATCGTTTTCATTATACAGAATATCAAAACAAGCAAGCTGTTAATTATGTTTAAAAAAATTATGTGCCTCTAGTTATATGAGTGATCTCGGGTTCGGGGGCCAGACCGCAATGATCGGTCGATTGATGGATCAGGCCGCAACGTCAAAAAGGCCGACTGGCGGGAAAATGGCCTATGTAGGCGCGACGTCGATACAGGGAAACTTGCAATAACATGGTTTTTAGTGGAAACACTGGGAGCCGAAGATCTGAAGAGATTTTTCATAACTACCAAAAAAAGAACTAGTCGAAGGGTTGTGATAATGGTTTAATTGCCCAGTGATCTGTAATTTAGAAAACACTTGAACCAACGTGCAACGTGCACAAGAAACATCGAAAGGAAATAGACAGGGTACGTATGACACGACAAATCAAAAAAAAAATCGTGCATGACCAAGTAGCTGGAAGTAGAATCTCGGTAGCCTGTACTATCAGACGACACATGAATTAAAAAATAAATACATTTCACTGCGCTGACAAAAGGGCCACAACTTCGATTGCCAATAATAATGTACTGACAGTGTGTCACGCTAGCTTGAAAACTACTAATGACTGAACTTTGATTAGTAAAGTTGTTGATAAGACTGTCGGGTTTGAGGTGATTAATAATGGGGCCTGTTGGTGTACCTACATAATATATTAGATGTCGAAAGTAAATAACTATAGCTAAAATTAATCGATTCGGTTTAACATATACCAGGAAGTATTTCAATTTATCATCACTGCTTACAAGGTTTCTTGTGACGTTGACGACTATTAAAACATAGTTCAGAAAGCCATACATAATGTGATAACACAGACAATATGGGGAAATCTAGATCTATCAAACATGTAAATAAATCTTTCCGCAGAATAATATTTGTCAGTTCAAAATTTATATTTCTTGCTATAGTGTACTAACATTACAATTTACTACCTGTGGCATCTCCTACGCATTTCTCTACATCAGACAGATCGGGGCCTACCTCGTAGAGGTGGCGAATGATGCGGGCAGATAGTACCCTCTCAAACAATATAAACGCCTCGTCCAGCAACACGATGGGCCTGTAGGCAGCGACCGAATCGGCAGGCCGTCCCTGCTTCCTTAACAGGAGCACCTTCCCACTCTTCCAGCACTCAGGGAAAAGTCCTACGTCGGTACTAGTGTAAGTAAAAAACCATCTCGGTACCTAAAGGGTAATCTGAAAAGACATGTGGACTTATTTATTCCAACTTCGCACAATTCAACAACGCATTTTATTGCTTACACTTAAGTAGCAAATATCTATATATATATTATTATTTATATTTATTAATATATATATTTTTTTTTTAAATGAGCCCGGATAAGATTTGTATGTAAAAAAAAAGTGTTAAAACATTGAACCCGTATCGTTGATTAAAATGATACGTCATCAAGAAGAACGGGCGCAAACTTATAAAGAAAATTTAAAACTTCACCAATACGGCGTGGTGTTTTAAAACCCACAGGGGAAATTAGTTTAATGATATTTTTCCGTCGCTATCATTTGAGGCATTGTTTACTCTAGTAGAAATACAGGGTTGATGGATGACCTCGATTACTGGCCAGTATTCGGCCGGCTAAAACATTATCTATGGCCTCACACTAGCACACTAAAGGCGTTCACTCAACTTCACGGTCCGATGCCTCAAGATTCTATAAACGAACTAAATGTCATAAATACGCTGTTTTAGTAAAACAGCGTATAGGCAAAAACTTATGAAACTAATTGTCGCCAAATCCATGGAACGGACCGAACACCAAAAGCTAGCAACGCACGTAACTACGTTGATAAAATGATTGTTTTTGCATATAACTTACGTCTCTTGATTTACCGATGATCATGTCATACAATCATTCTTTTGCCCCTTCATAAAGAAAAAATATCCTCTGTATGCATTATTTAAGGAAAAGAGTAGATTTCACCAGCTACATGAAAACTGTTTACAGGGAACTTTACTTACCAAAAAATCTACATTACAAACATGTTTCCAAACTTGCAGGTCCAACAACATTGTTTTAACCTAGTGGCAACGCCGGTCTTTAAATTTAAATTTACATGAATACCTCAAACGAATGTTCCACTTCAAAACCAACCTTTTTGGAAGTTGGTTAATAAGTTTTGTGTAAAACTAAAAAATAGTTCTAGTTTTTTAGCCAAAACACAATATAAATATTTTGATTTGGCATTAACAACACAGGTGGGTATCATTGCCTTGATTAAAAAGTAATTTTATAAAATGCACAAAACAAACCAAACGCTGAATTCCTACCATAAACAACAATTGATTACAAATTAACGGAACTTAAGGAAGAACCATAAATTAAAATCGCGGATTAATATTGCTTCCATAATTATCTGTATTTGATATAATTTAAGTTTAAGAAAGTTGTTTGTCGAGTTTTAACAATATAATTTTACCTGTGTAATCTAAATTATATTTTAGTTGTCGGGGTAAATTCACACATTAATTAAAATCAAAACGAGTAAATTCATGGGAATCGAGGCAGTTTATTACATCTGTCGTTGATGACAATTAAAAAATTATGATAACTTTACCTATAGCTTACTACTTAGTAATGCTGTAAAATACGTCCTACGAAAATTTTGTATTAATCGATATTTGAATAGTAAGACTTACCTATGCTTCTAAATTATTAACAAATTGAATTATTTTGTTAAATTTCCGTTCCGTTCCGTAAAAAAAGCAATACGTAATAAAATAAAATAAAATAAAATGAATAAAATGTATTAAAAGTAATCTATTCATACGTAGCAAAGAAACGCTAAATATACAAATATGTTATTAAAAATTTCAAAGTAATAAATACCAACCGATTACCTCCTATCAAGAATAAGAAAAGAGTGCATTAACGAAAGAGAACTAAGAAGTCATTCTCATGCCTCATGTTGCCTGAAGCTACTTGTCATTTAACTTGGGAACGGCACTATTACTGCACCATCAATATATCACAATTACAGACGTTGTGTCATAAAGTAAAATAAAATATTTAAACAATTATTTAAACAAACAGAAAATAAGAAGAATGTAACTTTTCTCTAGAAAGTATGTATTCTGAGTGAGAAAAGCTTTAGTTTAAAGTAAAAACATTAGTTTTTTACGACATAAATCTGACATGAGCGAAACTATATGCAATAAATAATTAAGCTGTATACCAGGGTTTGTAATTCTATAACCTTAATTTGGTTAGTAAGCAATTTATGCTCATCGGAACGCATACAGTGAAGTATCAAGAGGACTCTTCAACCATTATGTCTCCTCATATGGCAAAGTAATATTTTGTATAATATGCAACGCACAATAGAGAATTTTAAGAGCGAACAGTTAAGAGATTAAGAACGTAGATTATTATAATTTGTCATAACTTAAACACCTAGAATTAATAACCCTTTTCGTTTAAAGGTCTATTAAAATATATATCATTTAATGAAAGCTACTTTAGAGTTTTGTTACTTGAACTTTATTGTTATTACTACAGACATTACAATTACTTAAATATTCATTTTAATGAGGTAGGTTTCAGTAAAACGTTAACTAGTTTATTCAAGGTAACGTTGTATCGATCAGAAAAATAGTATGTTTTACGAGTATAGTATGATAACTTGTTCACGACGCGATAACTGGAAAAATATTATGTTTTGTTCTGTAATGATATTCTACTCGTATATAAAATAGGCAGATACTTAATGACAATTTATAATGGCAGTAATCTGTAAGTGTGCCTATTAGAAATAAATAAATAAATATGTCACTAGCTATTGTAGACTTTTGTACACTGGCTTTCCTCAGATAAAAAGTAGGTATTTGTTTATCAAACGGGAACTGAAGTTTTCTCTGGGTAAATATCCTTTTCCAAATCCCTGGCAACATATGTATGTGTTAAACTTCTTGATGATAATATGATTGGGACAACAGAGCATGAGACACAAAAACTTTGATTATAAAATAAAAAATTATGACAACAGCATAGTAAACGTGACCATTAACTTCGAGAAGTTAATTATCACTGGTAAAGTGGATGGAAAAAGACCACGAGGTAGAAGCCCGACATGTTGGACTGACCAGATCCGCACTACTCTCGACACCACAGTCTACACTCTACACTCAGCGCAGGTAGGGACGGATGGCGTCGAGTGATCTACACTCACGAGCAACCGAAGCGAGGAGGAGGAGGATAGTAAACGTGGGAGAGCCATGCTTCAGCACATATGGGCAAGGCTCAACCGGAGTAATCGCGGCCTCGCAGAAAACCGGTGTTAAACGAGTCCTTCGTTGCTTTTCACCGAATGAGGGGATTTCGAGACCAGATTCCGAGGGATGCTTCGTCCCTCTGAATCTGGGCTTGAGAGATTTAAGGGACGGCTATGGACTTATTACTCTTGAATTGCAGACGTCTGTCATTGCACTTATCATTGAGTGGCCAGTCTGCCCCTCTGCCATGAAAAAGTCTGTAAGAAAAATAAATAATTTTACTATGACTAAAAAAGATTATATCAGCTTCCTTCCCAAGAGTTCAAAGGCTAAAATAAAATACAATCAATACTGATAGTCGTTCCGGCGAGCGCCAAAAGTTTAATTTATGTCGAGTTAGTGAGAATGAAATGCCTAGAAAAAGTTCTGAAGCCGACATCAGTAGATTTGACTTTATTTACAATATTTTAACACATATTTTTGTAGCAAAACTTGAAAGAGATTGAGTGAGATGATGATAAGTTATTTAATAAATACTTTAATATTATTGCTGAGCCTAGGGCGTGGTTTAGATTCCCACCCAGAATAAATAATTGTGTGATGGGCTCTTGCTTCTATGTCTGTGTGTAATTTATTTGTAAAATCTATGTATTTACAAATATGTAAACAATCTGGTAACTATAACACAGGCTCTGCCTTGTTTGGAATCATACCGCCATGTGTAAAATGCGTCAAGTTATTTTTTTTATTATTAAGTAAAGTAAGTCCTAATTGAGTTGAAAACTGGGCCAAGTGGCCCAGTTGAGCTGAGTCGATATCATTATGGACTTTAGTGTTGTGTCAATCAGCGGGACGGTTTAAGCCTTAAGCATCGCTCAATATTGTTTACATAACTTGTCCACGTATACTTAATGCCGTCTGTGTAATCTATTTAGGTACCTATAGTTACTTAGAATGACACATTTAGAACAGACATATATTTGAAAATCTTTAAATTATTAATAAATTGTGATATAGTTTTGTCAATTTGAATTCCAAAATGACTCCAAAAGAATTCCCATATTATTTTTAATTTGAAATGTGATTACAAAACTGTATCGTATCAGCTAAAATCTTATAATAACATTTTTAATTTACAAATGTAAATTTTAACAACATATTAGACTGTATTACACAGATCATTGGGAGAGGCCTATGTCCAGCAGTGGACAAGCATAGGCTGAGGTTAGACACAGATTTAGTTTCGTGATATACAAACGATTGATTATTGGCAGTTAATCAACAGATTCCTCTCAATATAAAAGCAACGAGCAATTATTTACCAAATACAAAAAAGTACTAGTGACTTTTGTATTCATTCTTGATTTCAAAATATTAAATTGACAAAACACTTGTTTAGTTTTTAGTTAAACTCTTTAGTGGCCTGCTATAACATTTTAACCAATTTTTATTTAAGATCTAGGTCACAACCACGCCTTGTATGGCGTGTCTGTTACGGATTAAAATATCCTTTTACCATGTAGAACAACCATCCTCGATATATTCAGGTTCTAACTACGTATAATTATTAATTCAATACTCTCTATTTGATTTGACTACGTCAATTCTCTATAGTCAAACATATTCAATTCAAGTAGTTACTTTGGGAATTGACTTAAACTAATATACTGTTAAAGATATGTACAATGTGTCATAAACTGTGGTCATATTTTTAAATCGCTACTCCATTACACGCCATAAAGATAAAAAAAATAACATAATACGTAATAAATATTGTTGCCGAATAAAATTGAATTTCGTGGAAATTCATTTTTGCTATCTAGATGTGTATGCTCCGCTAACGTTAACGTTTTATAAATTTTCAAATCAATTTCAAGTATTTCGATATATTTTTTTCGAAATATAACGAAAAAATATCGGTTTTTTTTATTGGATTCATTCATCCATGTCAGTCAGCCCTCTCGCCTACTAAATAATAGTCTAAGTGACTAAGTTTTATAATCCTTTAAGACCAATCCAAGAAAATATAGCTACTGGCTACAGCTTTAGTGAAACAGTGAGTAAAACAAATTCGTTTTCTATTTAACTTTGCTAACGAACCGAATTCTGATGCGGTTTTTATGATCAGATATATAATTTTTCAAAGAAACTTTGTTTATATTTAAAACCAAACCTTAAAAAACATTAAAACTGATGAATCAACCCTTATACCGCATATGTCCTTGTGGTGACGGATTAAGAATACAAAGTTTTACCACCCCCATTCATCCCATGGGTGTCGTAAGAGCCAACTAAGGGAACAAACTACTCAGAAGAACAGCACTGCATAGAGAAGGAACGCTTGAAACAAACCCTATACCAACCAGTCTGGCCAGCGTGGTATAGTAGGCAAAAACCTCCTTTCCAAGGAGAGGCCTATGACCAACAGCGGACTATAAAAGGCTGTTGATGATGATTAACCGTTTTACTCATATTTAAAATTTAACGTACCTCAATTTTACTAAGTCGTACCCAATTAAAGCACTATATCATATTAATACAGCATGGCATTCACAATCTGTCAGTCCATGTTATCATAAAGCCCCTGAGCACCTCCAGTCTAAACTAAAACGTCTACGTATACGTTACCACCCCATTACAATAACCAACCTATTTAAAACAAAACTTAATATCAAGCCAAGCCTTCTAATTTATTTAAAAGTGAAACATGTGTAAGTTCTTACCTTAACGCAAGTTATTTTCTATTGTGACCTACTAAACAAGTTGGTGACCTACTGTGTTCCCATTGAGGTGAAGGTAAA